TTGGCAGAACCAGCTCAGGATTCTGAAAAATAGTTCCAATGCCGGGGACAGGGGATGGATGCAAGGCATTGGCAGGCAGTTTAGGGGATGTTTCCCAAGGGTTGCAACTTACAGTTTACACATCCAGGTAACCCGTCGAACGGACGCCTTTAATGTTAAGGATTTGGGCTAAGGGTTTAGGGTTGAGGGTCATGGGGTATTGTGTAGGCTGCAGAAGTCAAGTCCTGAAATCCAAATTTGCGAGTTCGCGCGGCACACTGTCAAGGGTTCGGGCCTTACTCTTGTAAGAACACTGCGATTAAGAGCGCAAGTTCGGGCACGTTGGACATTCTACCCTCGACCGGGAGTTTCCGAAAATTGGGGACCCCTTTGAGACGGTACCTAAAAAATATATGGTGTTGGGGGTGAGAATAGAGGAACCCCTGGAGATACACCTTGCACCATGAAAATCCGGGATGCACAACTGCAACTCTAGCGTGGAAAAGCCTACCTTATGCAAACAACGGCTTTGGGTTTAGGGTTAAGGGCTTGATCTCTGGAATCGCCCTCGCAAAGCCCCATGTAAGCCCACAGTCTGCGTAGCTGAATCAACTACATGACGTTGAACCCAAAATAAAACCGGAGAACCACCCTGCCAAACTGAAGTGAATTTACACAGACCAAACCCCCCAAGCAGTACCCTTAGAAGGGACCGAATCCCGTGCGAACCTAACAGACCCCTAGATCCCGGCACCCTACAGGATTTGGGATTCAGGGTGTACACCCCTGGAAGCCGCAAGGGTACCAGGCCTCTCTGCGTGGCCCAGCCGCCTTCAAACTAGCTAGCGCCAAAGCAGCAGTGATGGCCTGCATGTGGAAAGTTACTTCAAAATTGAACCCTAATTTTCAGAGCCTAAACCCTAAACCAACCCCAGAACTCCTGGGAACTGTAGGGTTATGTATGTGGTGAGTAGAAGGGGATTCCGAGGATCCCTTTTCGACATTCGGGATCCGAGTTTCGGGTTTACGGCTTAGGGGGCTTGCGGTTTAGGATTCGCATCTCTCCAGGGAACTACAGAGGTCTGGCGTTGTTGAAGGATGCAATGTAAGGCGTTTGGGACGTGCAGCATTGAGGACTTGAAAGGCGCGTGATTCGGGCTTTAGAATCCTAAACCTACCCACACCCCCCCTATTTGCCCGCAGCATCTTCATGTTACGTGCGCATCCAAGGTCATAGCATCCGTACAAATACTTGGACAACTGCAAGATTACTGTTATTTACAGCGAAACAAGATACTAGCGAACGCATGCCGGCACCCATAATAACGTTCATTTCGACATGCAAGGCCTTGGCAGACGGGATTGTAATTTCTTCGCGTACGGCAGACCTACAGGAACCCTTGAGCTGGCGGCGCAAGCTTCACAAGGCTTGACGGCAGCTTCAGCAAGAGATAGCAAGAGTGACAAGGTCTCAACCGGACACCTTGCTTGCTTAAATTGAGCAATCATAGGCTGAAAGAAAACGACACCTGTTTTTGCTAACGCCCAAAATCAGCTGACTTCCATTGTTCCAAGCAAGTCAATGTAAAGCACAAAATAGGAAATAGCGGATCCATGCAAAAGCCATCAGTAGCCTGGAATATGGCTGGTTTCCAGTATATTATATTTTCCATTATTCCTATGTAATCCTATAATACCCCTACATAACCCCTATATAGCAAACCTCAAAACCATTTCAAGGCCTCTCTCCTGCCCATTGCATCATAGGATCATAGCAAAAGTTGGCCTAAACCCCAAACCCTAAAGGGTTTAGGGTTTAGGCTTTAAGGTTTTAGGGTTTAGGGTTTTGGATTCAAATCTTGGACCCTAGGCACCGACCACTGGCTGATTTTACTCTGTTTCTCCTCCAAAAGTGACTGGACCTGGCGCCCAACTACATATAAAATGATGAAAGAGGAGCCGCTTGAGGCCTTTCCCTCAAACTCTGGCTCACAATAGGCTAGATTCCTAGGGGGCCCCCACATCTAAGAACCATCTTTAAAAAGTTAGCAAGGAACCCAAAGGCTCCTCAGAGGGTCTGTCCTATCTGGGGGTTTGGGGTCTAGGGGGTCCCCTTGGGGATCTACCTGACACAAAATTTCTAGTGGCGCGCACCGCCACAGTAGGCTAGCTTCGCATCACAGCCCTGGATGGGCGAACTCCTTGAGGTTTCCGTCGAGCCTTAGAAACTGACTTTCATAGCAGGCTTACATAAAAAACTTTCCCTAAATCAGGGGTCCTTAGTTATGAAAAAAACATTTACCCCTCCATAACCCAAGTTTCCAATCAATTTTCCATGTCTTTTCCATTTGATTTTCCACGTTGCTGGGTAATAGCCGTATATATATATATACATATATATATATATACATACATGTAGACACATCGTGGGGTCCCCAAATGTATGGACGATCCCACATGAACTGACAAAGCCGAGGCATGCGCGGCTCAAGTTCGAGCCTCTTAGCCAAGTTGACACCTGGGACGGTGGATACTAGAAATCCTGCATGACCGTAAGTACCCTATACCTTGGGAATAATGAGACTATAGTATATTAAGGTCATGCAGGATTTTGAGTATCAACAGGAGGACAGCAAGAATGCATCCCTTACGGTTTAGGGTGTAGGATGCTTGCCACATCACTTGGGAAACACCTTAGTATAAGGGAATCTTGGAAGCCCCAAACCCCCGAAAAGAGGAGCCTGTGAGTATCACATGACCATGATAGGATCCTGGCTAGAAGGGTTGGGCTTGCCAAAGTTCCCTTGTCAACTTGGGTACCAGCGAGCGGGCTTTCCAGTCGCGCCTGACACAGGCACTGGAAATCATGCGATGGAAGCGCTTAAGTCTTTAGGGTTTAGGTAGGGTTCAGGGATTAGGGTTTAGGATTCAGGGTTTAGGGACTAGGTTTTAGGGTTCAGGGTTTAGGGACTAGGTTTTAGGGTTCAGGGTTTAGGGATTAGGTTTTAGGGTTTAGGGTTCTGGGTTTAGGAATTAGGGTTCAAGGCTTCAGGGTTAGGGCTTTCAGGACAGGCCTTTCGGAAGCTCCTTCATGGTCACCAAGACCTTCGTGACAACAGGCGCTTGGGCACAATGCTGTTGATAGATGAAATCTTGCACCACCTGGGGTCCCCAAACTACTGTAATTCCTAGGACTTTAAGGACTTAAGGTGGTGCATGATTTCCTCCATCAACAATTTTTCAAAACCGCATAAATGCCTCTGGGCACCACTTGTCCTGCAGAACCTGAGCAGCTCAACAAAGCGGTCTCGAATTCTGCGCCACAGCCCTGCACCCAAATCATCTAGCAGCTGTGAAACCCTGAAATCTGACAAGCCAGGCCTTGTCTTTCATGAGCCACTGGCGCAGATCAAAGAGCTTCAAAGACTTGCCCTCCTGGGAGAAGTTGGAACTTTCACACACATTCAGGGTTTAGGGTTTAGGGCCTAGGGCTTAGGGCACTTGCAGTCGACAGAGCCCAAACACGACGTGTTCCGCCATGCCGTCGGGTAAGCACATCTGTGAACGCAGTCCCTCTCCTTTGGGATGACCACCACGCCTTGCACATGGCTTTTTCTAGACCGGGCCACAGTGCAAATGCCAAAAGGTGGTTTCCATGAATCAAAGGACCCTCCACTCTTTGGAAATCCTCAACCCTATAAATCCCTAGAAATCCAATAAAATACCGCTATACTATATACATACATATATATACATATATACATCTACA